GACGAGGTCCGTGACATTTTCTTTTATTATTGCGAAGAGTCATTTCATGGTTATCTGTTTTAGCATTACTTACTGGAACTGGTGAACTCGTGTACTTATTGTGGAACACAACTGCTGGCCATGATAGTACGCCGTCAACAGCTGGTTATTCTGTTGGCAATTACTATGCATTTTTTCCACCAAAGAATATGTTAGACAATGACTTGACAACGAGTGTAGCTTTATACGGTGTTTGTGGTGTACGGACGTTCGGTGCAAACTGTGGTGAAAACACTGGCGCATATGTCGTTTCTAACCGCGGCTCGTTTATACTCGATTCGTTTCGTGTTGCTACAGGACGCTATGGTTCTCTACGTGATCCGATGATCATTACTATTGAAGGTAGTAATTATACAGATTATTCTCTTACTCTTGGATCGAGTTGGACATTACTCTATAACGATACAACAGGTTTATTATCCGATCCTGGGAGATCCGCTTTCGGTCAAACACAAATTCTCGTGAATAATACTTTATCATTCAAAAGTTACCGTTTTCTTTTTCCATTAGTAAGAGGCAATGAAACTTGTATTGAAGTCGCTGAAATCCAAGTTTTTGCTCGTGGATAAACAAAACATAAATATATTTGACATACAATTAGTTTTATTTCTTGTATCGCGTTAAAAATTGCTTTACTTTGATGAATGAGAAATTTGTAACCAAATTACGTTCTATCAGTTACTTCGCTTTTATCTGATCACATCAGATGGTCTCATATTTTATTTTGAATTCGAACAAAAATTGTCAATATAAATTTGATCTTTCTTCATTGTTCAACTTCGTTGTATCTCTGAAATAAAATATAATTCGAGCTATTAACCTTCAAATAAAGAATGTGCATTTATGTATCATCTGATTCCTTTTCTGCGATTGTTTGAATGAAGTAGAAAATGAAACTCAATTATCTTTGAATACTCTCTATTTTCGATTGGAGAAATGAATATCATCAAAATTGTCATCTCGCAAGAAAAAGTTCGTCAAGTAGAAAGATATTAACATAAAATGTTTTCTTTTCTTTGCTTTTGTATTATTCATGGACCTTTTTCGTCTCTCATAGGCCACAGATGGAATTTCTATGTTATATTGTTTAATCGACATAGAACGAGAACGAAAGAAAAAAAAATGCAATAACATCGATAAGTAAAAACGGAGAACGAAAGAAAATGAGTATATTTATTGATGTATGTACATACATTCGATGTTAGCAATTAAAAATGAATGCATAAATGAAAAGATAAAATCTGTATGTAATAGGATCGAAGCTATATATTAATCCGTTCTCATCTTTGATCCTTCATACATTGAGTGTAAGTGTCAGTCATTGTGTATTTTATAGAAATAATCATGTGGAAGTCGTTTCATATATGGATTTATCTTTTTATTCTTGTCGAAAAATGTCTTTTAACATCTCAATTGCTGCAATCAAATCGTCAGGAATTAATGCTCGTTCCATCAGTTGCATTTCGTCATCATTCTGAATCAATGGAATTAACTGCACTGGCTCATCCAACAGATGATTGGATTCTTTATGCTCAAGGTTGGTTTCTTGAAGTAAATCCTATTCGTGCTCGTCTTGCCACAACTATCCTCTTGACAACTGTTGGTGATGTTGATCAAGATCGCATCGCTTATTTTACTGGAAGTGGAAAAAAACATCGAGCATTATGTATTGATGGTTTAAAAAATGAAATGTGTACATACACAGATTCACATGGCTTAATTGAAAAACAGTTTAAATTATCAAATGATGATATTCAACTTTTTCGTGTTCCAGGTGGAAGTGGTGGAAAAGTTGAATATTCCGTTTCAACAGTAGATAAAAATATTCAGAAAAAAGGTGAAATCTTCTTATGTGATGATAATGGAATATCAGTTATTAGTGATATTGTAAGTAAAATAGAATTAGCAAACAAAATTTCAAAGAATGTTATTCAATAGGATGATACAATCAAAATAACTGGTGTAACCAGTGCACGTGCTGTTCTTCGGAATACATTTTCTGGTCAATATAAAGCTGTGCCTGGTATGGCTGAACGTTATCGTCATTATGAATCGACTTACAATGCCACATTTCATTATTTAACTGCTTCACCCGATCAATTATATCCATTTTTACGAGAATTTTTTGAACGTGAGCAATTTCCATTAGGTTCATATCACATGAGACATTTTACCTGGTTGGACTCGAATTTCTTTCACTTCTTCTCGTCAAAATCATTCATCAGACAGAAGACAAATATTTTACACATGTTTTTCCAGCAAACACGTTCGAGACAATTCATTTTACTTGGTGATATTTTTCAAAAAGATCCAGAAATTTATGCAAATATCTACGAAAAATATTCGGATCGAATTTTGAAAATCTTCATACGTGTACCAAAGAAACGAGTTGTGGATCGATTAGAACAGGTTTTTCAACATATACCAAAAGACAAATGGGACACATTTGTGAACGGACATGATCTCCCGGAAAATATTTTCTAATAAATCAGCTTTCTTTTGGCATATCGTTGCATTATATCAAAAGAATAAGAATGTAGAAACAATTCGTGCTAATCGAAGAGTTATTGTGTTTGTTTATGATAGGCAACTAAAAGTGAAGGTATAGTATGATATTCCATATTACCAGAATGAGTTTTCGATCATTCTTACAAAAGATATTCACGAAAGACTTTACATATTTGAAAGCGATAGATGACTCAGAGAGAAATGTGTCCGAAGAAACGTTTTCATTCGTACGTGTTTGCCACATATCTTATCGCGCATAATAAAAATCTGATAATTATGGTTCGGTATGCTATCAATCTACCTTTAGTTTGCGTACTAACTTCCAACTTCAAATGGATTCATATGACGCTTGGATCATTCATGTTATAAAAGACGTACTTCTTCAAGAAAAAAGTGGTTACCCAAAATAAAAATATATTTCATCCAAGTATTTTGCAGCCTTCTCCGTATCTAAAAGTAACGCGGGTGATTGCAAAAGCTGAATGTATGCCGAACAGACATATATAAGCATTGATTTTCATATGCATTGATTAACGATGGTGACCATCTCAGAAATAAAACCTTCCTTCTTCTTGAAGGTCATGTAAAGACGAGTGAAACACAGCTTCTCTGCGAAGAAAAACGCTCTCTCCTATTTTTTATTTTTTAAATTGATTATGTTTTTTCACAGACTCCTATGACCTCACTAGATTTTAGAGTAGGAATGCTTTTCTTTTTTGTCAATTACACTCTATTCTACATGAAAGGTATTATTGATAACATCTATATTTTGACACAAAGATAAACATCGACATAGTGATTCTTGTGCTTATCTTTCCAATTTCCTTTTAATTTGAGATTGTAGCAACTAATTGTTAATTTGCTGATTATCCCTGTAATATATATATCGATCTCTTGTTACTATTTCTTGATTTTGTTTATCACCCGATCTATTCTATGCAATACCCTCTAATTTCATTCGATTGCTCGATCGCTCATCACTTTTCCCCTATATTTTAGATAATTGTATTTGATTTCATTGTTCTTTATGGGAATAAAGTTTGGTAAACAGGAACTGATTATGGGAGATTCTTTTCCTTTGTCTGTGGTCGATACACGTTATGCTGGTGGATGTTATTTGTATGTACACGATCAAGGTGAACTGATAGAGAAGCATAAACATCACAGTCTGTCTGTCGACGTTGCTGGCGAGAGTCGTGTTAGTGTTACTGGTGAAATTGATAAATTATGTGGAGTGATGCTACATGTAACTGCAAATTCAACTGGAAAATCTCAATTCGGTCATGGAAAAGCAATGGTTAGTGGAAGAAAAGGCTCTATATACTTTATCGGTCAACTGGCTAATACTCGATACGAAATCCCTGGCGAATGGGTGTCTCATCTTATCAATGCGGTCAGTAATTTCCCTGTTTCTCAACTATTGTTTGATTATGTTTGCCTGCATAGGGTGAAGAAAATTACAAAGATCTTGTCGAACACAATAACGGTGCGGAACAATGGGACGCAAATCTGAATTGTCAAGTGTTCGTGCAGAAACTTGTGAAATATTTGGATCTCGACTATCTTTCGAGTATTTTGACTTGTGTTGATATTCCACCAACAATTGTCGAGTTAACAATTCTGGCAATTCGTTCATCTGCTCATTCACAAGAAAAACTATGACCAGCACGACGTTCGAGGAGTTAAAAATATTTGTCAGATTTCCGCGGAATAAATATTTCATTCTTTATGGGTAACAGTTACGGTAAACTTGGATTCCTTAAAACGAAAAACGCAAAGATATAAGAAAAAGCAATATAGGAATTTCAGTAAGAAGTAGAAACCAGAAATATTTACTGCGACAGTAGGAGATTTGTAATGAAACGAACATTTCTGTTGCAAAAACTCGTGATAACGATCACTTGTTAAAGATGCAAATATAGGAGTGAAAATGTTACACAATTCTTTGATTTATGAAAATACGAAACGGATGTTGATGACTAGGAGGGTCTAACAGACGAACAGAGAATCATGTTGTTTGCATCAGCATGTCGTAGACTAACTATTCTTCATGAATCATCTCTCTATCCATCGCATCACTCACAGTATGTATTTTTGATGTGTCAGTGAATAAATGAATTGATTGAATTTCATTGCAGTTTTCAAAATTTCTTTCATGATGAATCTTTACCGAGACGTGCATGTTTTTCCGTATACTCGACAAAACCAGAATTTGATGCTATGTTTAATCAAATCGATCTTCATCGTTTTTATAATGATAGTTATAGAAAACAAAACAAATATTTGAGAACATCTTTCTCGATTTCAATTGAGTTTAATCATTTGAAATAGTCTAGGATTTTTTATTTCAAGTCCAGATAGCAATATTAATAATAAGATCTAAAGTTCGATGTGAAAGTAGCATGACGAAGACTTCGTCGATGCCTTTTTGAACACATAGATTCGCAAGAGCGAAATTATCCATTGTATCAATGAAGAAACATTGAGAATCACTGAGTAGAACATAGTCTCTTATCTATATAGAGGTAGTCAGCAGCGTCATTTTCTTGTATGCCATCATCAAAATAAGAGCAGAATATATTTTAGAAAGAGGACGCGTTTATTGTTTGTAAGAAACGATCAACATCGTTGTTAAATAGATTGATACGCTTACTATTGGTTTGTCAAAACTTTTCATTATATGATGCACAAACATTTGTACTTATCTATCTTTGGTTCTCTCGAATAATAAATTCAAAGCAAATGATAAAATCCGATATTTTCACTTGAAGCAACTTTTCTTATAATACCATCATTTTTTACAATACTCTATCAATTCCACCCTATTTTACGAGAAATTTTGGAACGCAAACAATTTCCATTAGGTGCATACCACATGAGATATTTTCACTTTTTCTCATCGAAATCATTCATCAAACAAAAAACAAATGTGACACATTTGTAAATGGATATAATTAACTCGCTTTTTAGTTCAAACAGCAGTTCTTTGTTGTTTAAAAGAGAAAATTATACAAAATCTACACAAAAATCATGCAGATATCATTCATTTATCAAATATTGTGAAGTTCTTTGAAGTCCAAAGTCTAAGTTGTGGAACAACACAAGGCTAATGCGTGAACAATGCATGATTTGTAACATGAACTGAATATAATTACAAATTGAATTATCATGTGTTCAATTACAAAATCACACGATAGACAAATATGAATATCTGATAAATTATGTAAGACAATTTTTTTGCTAACGATATATAAGATTCATCAAGAAATCATCCTTTGAGCACAATCAACCAGATGACACCTTAGTTTTCATTTTTACTTTTACGAGTATGAATACAATGCCTCGTAACTTTTCATCTCTTGAAATTAATGATGAAATTGACAAAAGTGTAAGTGACATATGGATTCAAATTGAATTTTTCTTATTTCTTATGGGACAAATCTTTGCTATTCCATGTTATTTATTTGTTATGTACCATATTTTGGCACATCGAACGGCACGACGAGCTTTACACAATCATGTAATTATTATGATATTACTTTATTGTTTTCTTGATCTAATCATTGATTTATCATTAACAATGAGCTATTCACTATCGAAATCAGTGCCACTCTTTTCGCCTATCCTTTGTCTTACTTGGCAATTTGTCGATTATGGTATTTGGTATGGATCGATATCTTTGATGCTTTGGGCATCAATAGAACGACATATCCTTGTGTTTCATACCAAACTCGTTCGTACAAGTCAACGTCGTCTTCTTTTTCATTATATACCATTGATTTTCTTTTCTCTTTACACTCCAACATTATATTTCTATTTAATTTTTATTTATCCATGTCATATGGCTTATGATGATAAAACAATTCGTTGTGGTAGTCTTTGTTATTTGAAATCAGCTCCAATTTGGTTTTTTTATTATGATATCCTTACTCATTATGTTGTTCCAGTATTACTAGTAGCTGTTTTCAGTGCCATTCTTATCCTACGGTTTCTCAAACAAAGATCACGTTTGAAACGAGCAACTAAATGGCGTCAATGTCGAAAAATGATTATTCAATTGGGACTTGTTTCAATATCCTACATTGTTTTTGATTTACCCTATATAATTATCGTTATTGTTCAATCATCCGGTCATCCAGAATTTGGTCATAAAATTCTTTCACCATATATTTCACATATGGTATATGTACCAGCAATCATTGTACCCTATGCGATTCTNAAACATCACGCTTGAAACGAGAAACTAAATGGCGTCAATGTCGAAAAATGATTATTCAATTGGGACTTGTTTCAATATCCTACATTGTTTTTGATTTACCCTATATAATTATCGTTATTGTTCAATCATCCGGTCATCCAGAATTTGGTCATAAAATTCTTTCACCATATATTTCACATATGGTATATGTACCAGCAATCATTGTACCCTATGCGATTCTATTATCATTGCCTCGATTAAAACAGAAATTACGAGTATTATTATTCTGGAAGAGAACTAGACGGATAATATCTCCGATGACTATAATTCAGTAGTTGGAATTTCGTGATGACTTTGTTTTCTCAAAAAAAAATTAATTTAGAAACAGTCAAATTTTAATCGCAGTGGCATAATCATATAGAAGACAAACGAGTTATTGTCTCCTTCATTCTTTCATTTCTTGATCTTGGAGTGAAACATTTCTGTAAATTACATGAAAAAGAAGATAACTTCTTTTCATTATGTCTCGTTATTTTGATCTATCAACAAAGGCTTTGCTTTTTCTCGCGTACTGTTTCTTTTTTGTATGAATAGAAAGAGAATCATCTTATTTTAAACGATGTTTATACTACGATAATATAAAGAATGAAAAATCAACGAATGTCTTTTCTTTGGGGAATGAAAATGTTAAAACAACGTTTTTAATTATAGGTCGTTATTTCCTCGTTCGATTTTAACGAGTTCAACATCAAAAACAAGGGTAGCACCGCCTGGGATATCATTACCGGCACCACGATCACCATAACCAAGAGATGGAGGAATTACTAATTTACGTTGTTCACCTTCACACATACTGAAATGTTTAAAATTCAAATAGATAAAAATCGGTAAAATTATTTGTCTTACTTGAGTAATCCTTGATCCCACTGAAAAAAGAAATATTCATTTGATTAGATTTTTAAGGGTTAAATAATGAAAATTTCACTTACTCCTTTGATAACTTGACCAGTGCCAATAGTAAAAACAAATGGTTCACCACGATCACGACTGGAATCAAATTTTTTTCCATTTGATTTCAAAGTACCCTAAACGAACATTGATTTGTTGATAATTTGGAACATATGTACGAATTACCGTGTAATGCATATGAAGACGATCACCTTTTCTGGATTTTTGTTCGCAGTTCTCAACTTTCTTCTTGATGCCAATTTGTAATTTATCTTCGGCCAATGTATTAACAATGATCATCAATAACAATGCAACAATAATTAGATGTTTAGACATGTTTTTCTTGAAATTTATGAGATGGCGAGAAACAAAAAAATCTGTGTTTTAAAACGAAGCTTTATAACTTTTATAAGTGAACTGATGGCGATCTTTGAATGGCATATTATATTCAACGAATTAGAAATCACTTTGACAGAGGACATCGATATCAACATAACAAGTAGAACAGTACAGATGTCAGCAGTAAAAAGTGATGTTTTTGATACTATTTCTTACGTTTAAATGCCAAAACTACATCATATTTCATTGCACTTTGACATAAAAATATACTTTAAAATAATGATGGATCTTTTTTAGACTTAAATTGTACATTTATCTTATTCTTCAAAGCGATTAAAGGTGAAAAATTGATTTGTAACTCTACACAAGTGTAGAACGCACATCAACATATTCTATTATTGTACTTTGAAATGTATTCGATTTGATTAGAAAACAATCAATATACAAATTTGACATTTTAGATTCTAATGACAAAAAGTTCAATGAGTCGGACTAATCAACATATTTATGAGACATTCGTTAAATTAAAACGAAATTAAGTAAAACTGAGATGAGTGAAATTCAAGCTGGAAAATGTTTCATTTTCTATGTACAATAAAAGAAAAACTGTTCGTTTAGACATTTCGTTCATTTGGTTCTTTATAATCCATTTGAAGATAATCAAAAATATCTCTTTCTGATGACACTGGTAATGGTTTACTTAAAACACCGGTTGATCCAACTTTTTGAATTGAATATTCATTTAATTTATAACCTTTCTCTTGTGCCACAATACGCATTTGACGATTCAATTGATCATTTCCAGTGAAATAAAGCAATGCACAATGATACTGTTCGCTTGGGAATACTCTATCAAATATTTCTTATTCGATTATTTTCATATTTGAATATATATTTACCTTATGTCAATACGACGATGTAATTTCGTATTTTCTAATTGACAAACACCCTGTTAAAGAAATATTGAAATAAACGATTCGAAAGAAAAGATGTTTTCGATTTTACCATAAATTTTGAGTCTCCAATAGAAATTGTATCGGTGATAAAAGCAACTTTTTCTGTTAGAATATCGACTATTTTATGTAGAAATGAAGATAATTTAGTGGCTGTTGGATGTGTTACCAAAACATCAATATCTGAACTTGCTTTTGCACCTATTTACATCGTTAATAATCATTCATTTCGTTCAAAAGATGAACATTTTACCTCTTCGATAACTACCAACAATTTCTGCTTTCAATTCATCATCAATTGCAGTAATTTCACGTAGAATAATTGTCTAAAACAACACTCATTTATATCTTCTTATAATAATCTATAAATCACACATACTTCCATTTCTTTCATTTCATCTCGAGGTATTTTTTGTTCAAATTCTTCGAGATATTTTAAACCAAGTTGTTGAGTTTTATTTAATAATGTATTACGTTTTGGATGTGCACGTAACTCATCAATTGATTTGATTTTTTCCTGTTGAACAAGTTTATTCGCATGTGCAGGTCTAAATCATTCAATATCAAACATTTTCTTTCAAACTAAACTAAATAAACAATCTTCATACCCAACACCCATAATACGTGTCATTTGTGTTATAGCCGCACCTGTTTCATCACCTCGATTCGCTTCTAACTTTTTGATTTTTCCAGTTGATAAATATTGTTCAATTTTTGCTTCAATTTTCTTTCCAATACCTTCCTATTAATAAAAAGCAATGTGAAAACGAAACTTGATGAGTAGATGAACAACTTACTAATCCTTTGATATCTTTAATCGTTTCGATTCTATGACCAACTTTAGCAATTGAACTTGCTGCTTTTCGATAAGCATTGTATTTATGAATTGCACGAGAAACATTTTTCTCGTATTCGCCTAATTCTAATTATCAAAATTATATAAATGAAATGGAAAGTAAAAGAAATTGATTATCTTACCATTGAGAAAATCGATTAACTCAGAGTTTGGATTGTCAGGAACTTTACGTTTTGTTGCCATCGGTTCGAAAATATCTTATGAAAAACAAAAAATCAACTAAACATGTTCGGCTTTTTATTCTTGGTATTTCTATTACAATGTGCAATGACAAGTCTTTCGTAGGTTGTCAAATTCAACCAGTCAGTACTTCAAAGTCTAATTCAGTCTTTTCAAAAGATGTCAGTCATTGACAATATTACATCTTAACATTTTTCTCAATAACGAACATATATCAAATTACTCAATTCAACTGATAAAAAACATTTTTTTTTCTTCTTCTTCTTCTTAAATCAAATTTGTAATTTGAACTACAAATGTAAATAATATTATTCTAACAAGAAAAATGATATCCTGAGATTTTGTGTTGTGTCAACCATTTGATTCACATACATTCTACTCTTCTGAATCATACGAACATTGATTATTTAAGATAGGAAGACTCGAAAGAAAATATTTGTCTTTGTTTAGTTTAGTTTACTTTCTTTGACATGAAAATGATCGTCAATATCAATCATATTGAAAGTCAAATTTTTATTAATAAAAAAAAAGAAAACGAAACCGCTGAGTTATAGTTCTTTTGAAATATATTCGTAGAGAATATATCCACACAAAATATTGTCTCGTTCTTTGACTTTTTTCGTTTATGTTCTTATCGATCTTTCTTTGATATACACGCAGCAGCTGAGAATAAAAACAATAACAAGAAAAAAAACTGCAAGTCATTGCAGACACTACAATTGCCATTGCTTTGTCTTTCTTCTATTAGCCAGCTGTATAAAATAACACGTTAAGAAAGCAAACATGGCCGGTGTCGCCAAATTATTCGATGGACATATTCTGAATAGTTCAAATGAAGAAGTCGATCTTAATGATGAAAAATATCAAGGCAAAGTCATTGCTCTTTATTTCAGTGCACATTGGTATGTTGAGAAATAATTTCATTCACTTTTCTATTCATTTCTTTTCTTTAATTAGGTGTCCACCATGTCGTGGATTTACACCAACATTAACTGAATTCTATAAAACACATACAAAAGAGAAAAATTTTGAGATTATATTTATTAGTTCTGATCGCGATGAACGAGCATTTAATGAATATTGTAAAGATATGCCGTGGTTAAAATTAATGTACAGTGAACGAAAAAAGAAAGAAGAATTAGGAAGAAAATTTCAAATCACTGGTATTCCAACATTAATTTTACTTGATGCAGATTCAGGAGATGTTCTTTGTAAAGATGCACGAGATCGAATTCAACATCGAGATCCACGTGGAGAATTTTTTCCATGGAAAACTTTATAATAACTAATTTTCAATTCAATTCGAACAACGTTTGTCTTTTTTTTCTTCAACAAAAAATAAAAAAATTCCAAGTAACACACAGATTCAAGTGGAACAAGTTTTTTTTTTCGGATCTCATATTGTTATCTATATGAAAATAAAATTTCGTTTCAAAATTTTATTCATTTGATATCTTTTCATCAAGAATTTCGAATTCATCTTTGATACAATTCTCTCTTAAAAGAAAAGAAACATTTTGTGTTCTTCATATGGCAATAACTGAATTATTTTCTATCTTATTTCGTTTGTTATTTCTGTTTTCGATTAACATATTGACAAGAAGTTGAAGAGTAATATGTTAAATTCCAATCCAGATTTTTCTCTTATCGAAATTTGTTTAATATTACTATTGAATTCATTTCATTTTTTATTGTCAAAAATCAAATTTAACTTTGATCAATTAAAATGTATTATGGTTGTATTGAAGAAAACTCATTATTTTCTTTGTAAACTTGAAATGACTCATATTGATAAACATTTATTTTTGTATTCAGAGTGTTAATAAGTGGCACTCATAGACATCAACATCTATTCGCTATTAAAATAAACATTTATCTCATTCTCAAGATTTGTTAGATCAATTCTTTATTAATATGTGATCAATGAATGAAGTTGAAGATGATCTTGATTATTATTTTGACAAAATATCAATAGAAATGATTATCAAATAGATTTAGTTTTATATTAATTTATCTGTTTATTAGTGATGTTTTAGTTAATAATTATTCACTGAAAGTATTTTCATTGAGATTTAGTACAAAAATGATTTCACAACATTGTATAATGTGATGATCAACTAACACGATGTTTTTGAAACAATAGAATAGAATTCTTTTGTTATAAGTCATTTAGTTTATTGAATTTATTTTAAATGATTTGTTTCAAAATTTTGTTCGATTCTTAGTACAATAATCTCGTAATTATCCATCATATTGTGTGTCAACTTTGATATTTTCAATATCTTTGTATATTAAACAACACTGAAAAGATCTCATTGTTTTTTCGATAAATATTTTAATTTCATGATTATCCAAATACGAATTGTTTACAAATTCAATCTCAATTTTTTAAGCAAAATAGTTTTGATAAATATGATTCAAATCAATAAATTATCGTTTCAGCTGATTATATTGATCTCGAAAATTTAACTCCACAAAGATTGCAATTTTAAGTTTTAGAAACATTTCATTTCAGTCAAATTTCTGCTTCGAGATAAAGAAATTTCAATCTTAAGATGTATTAAAGTGACTGAAAAAATTGATTACCAATATAGAAGACATCGTGTCTTTCGATAAATTATACTACTTATTTTTCTTTTGTAAGAAATTTATAAACAAGTAACGTTTGCAGGAGAACTCGTTCAAATGTTTCTTGTTGAAATTAAATTCTGAAATTATCGGCAAAATTTTACAAAACTAGTCGCAGATTCGAAATCTCGATCACGATTGTCTTTTCTTGACCAATTTTATCTTTTGACAAAATCTGTCAAATGCGAAATACTACCAAACAAACAGATTATCTATGTTTACAAGATGCTTCTTCATAAGAAAACCAATAAGATTACACTGAGAATAAATATTCATAGTTATTTTTAGTTACAAGATAGTCGATTTTGTGATATCGAAGATATATTTCATTGACATATCCATATTTTATGGACATTTCTGTTCATCTAAGATTTATTATCCTCAAAAGTAATATATCTGCGATCAATTTCTATGTATTACAAGATACATTTCATGTTATTTTATTATATTTATTCTCTACGAATGATACACTTTTAATCATAAATGATTTTATTCGATCGTGAAAGAAAAACTTCACTTTATTCAAAAGTTAGATTATACATATGAGACTTAAGTACGTATGTTTAAAAATCGATATTGAATCATTATTTTTTACCAACGAGACCAGCGAGAGCACTGACACCAGCACCAATAGCAGCATTTGTGATTTTATCTTTGATTTTACCCCATAAACCACGTTGAGCAGGTGTAAGTGAGGCCAAGAATAATTCAACTTCTTGATCATCAGCGTCACGTTTACCAATAAGACCAACAGCCGCGCTAATACCAGCATTGATAGCAGCATTGGTTACTTTATCTTTGATTTTGCCCCATAGGCCGCGTTGCTCAGGTGTGAGGGAAGCTAAAAACAATTCAATTTCTTGATCTTCAGCAGCACGTTTACCGAGAATAAGACCAGCAGCTGCACTGATACCAGCGTTGATAGCAGCATTGGTTACTTTATCTTTGATTTTGCCCCATAAACCACGTTGTTCAGGTGTGAGGGACGCTAAAAATAAATCAATTTCTTGATCATCAGTTGAACGTTTACCAATGAGACCAGCGAGAGCACTGACACCAGCACCAATAGCAGCGTTTGTGATTTTATCTTTGATTTTACCCCATAAACCACGTTGAGCAGGTGTAAGTGAGGCCAAGAATAATTCAACTTCTTGATCATCAGCATCACGTTTACCAATAAGACCAACAGCCGCACTAATACCAGCATTGATAGCAGCATTGGTTACTTTATCTTTGATTTTACCCCATAAACCTCGTTGCTCAGGTGTGAGTGAGGCTAAGAAGTGAATTTGAGCTTGAAGAAGATCATTATTAGCAGTTGGATATGGCACTGATGTTGAGTAAACAGAACCAAAAGCAATTAAAGCAATGACGATACTGATAGATACGTGCATTTTAACAAATTTCTCTCGATAAATTGAGCCAACAACACCAACGTATTTCCTAAATATCTTTAATGGATTTGATCAGTTATATACTGAAAAATAAATGCGATTTTGAGAAAGTTTACATATGTTACGAACTATATTTAATGATGAAGTTTTCCCAGCTGTTTCTATATCTCATAGGAAAGATGTGCTTAACTACTGTGCACGCGCTTCTGATTGTTTTTATCGGCATGTTTATCTTAATTTCTAAATATATATATTATTCAATTGAAAAAATAACTAGTACTAATGGTACTTTTCACAATTCTATAAAAGTAAAACCTTATTTATCTCGTTTCGTTTTGTTTATAGGTCTTCCTTTCATCTTTTTTATGTGAATTAAAAAGCAATGTTTCTATCGAACACTTCTTCATGCTAATAGATGTTTGAAAAGAACACTGACATATCGTCTATTCGTTAGAACAAATAAAACAAAATATGACAAACAAAAGATTCGGATGAACATTTTTCCATTTAGAACATCATTCAATTTAAATTAATCACAATGACGAATTAGGATAGAGAAAATTCAATGTAATTAAATTCTAAGAAGAGATTTTTCAAAATAAAATCTTGGACTTATTTTCATTGATTGGACATCATAATATTTATGTGAAAATAGTTTCATATCAATATTAATCTGACACGATTAAAAATTTTCACATATTTTTTTATCGTTTATAGTCAGTGAGTATAACAATCACGCAAAATGCACTGATTATGATGCAGCTGTGTGTAATTGCGCCATAACCTTTCTCAATTGGGAAGGTCGCAGACGACGACTGATTTAGCCCATTAGATTGATTATATGTATGACAGAAAATGAATGTCTTTCAACCATAAATATGACAAAAAGATTATTTGAAAAGATTATATCGAATAGCAGATCATTATTTATGTTTTCTTGGTAAGTTCTTCTATTTTAAGTAATATAACCGAAATAGTTGAATTCTTCGACAAATATAATTATGAGTATAATCATAGATAAAAGTAGATGTTACATGAATATACTTCATGATTTTAGTTAATTGAATATTTAATTGAACAACATATTACAGCACAATCACATTCCGACGGTATTCTTCTTGTCGAGCACAAAGTGATTTTCTAAGAGTTGTATCTATATTAATGAAGTTATACGTAGACTTTGTCTTATATTCTATGAACATATCGACTTGCTTTAGCTGAACTATCCTTTCGCTTGTTCGCTATATCAGATGGGTCAAATCGAGATCTTTTCTCACGTATTTATGAAATGGTGGTATTGGTAATCAATTCCGTTGTAAACTTATAACTTATTCGAAAGAGAAACAATACATCGAAAAATACAATATGTTTACAAACAGATGACGATACTTTATTTTTTATTAATAATACCAACGATAGCTGAGACGACTTTAATTTGGTTTTGACTTTTAATCTTGTTTCATAAACGACGTTGCTCTAGCGTGAATGAGATTTCAATTCGGAGATGATCATTGTTGAAAGATACGTGCATTTTACTAATTTCTGTTGATAAATCAAACTAATAATACTAATCTATTCTTCCCTAAATAATCTCAATTGATTTCGCAAGTTTATATGTAAAATGAGATACATATTGAAAATTTTATCATCTGTTAGGAACTTTATTTTTAAAGCAAAATTTTCATCAGCTGTTTATACATAACATAAGAAAGCTTTGTCTGCCCACCAGTCTCGTCCTTTTAGCGTTTTTCTCATAAACAACTGGAATTGAGTTTCTAAATATCGATCGAATTATTCGATAATAAGGCAATTCTATGGACTTATCGCGTATCCAAAGATTAGTTTTACACATTCCAACAAGTAGCGTATAATTTTCTCTGATTTGTATTTGAGAGTAATTCTTCTTCCATACTCAGTTTATTTCTTTTTCCAAAAAATGGAACACACGATAACACAAGTAGAATAATAGAGAAGAAAAAGAAACTAGATAGATGTAATAAGTAATAGGATAACACAGACACACGTTTGAATAATATCTGAAGAGAGATGAATGAAAGTTATTTACATAAATAGAGAAAACAAACAACGAGAAAGAACATTTTTACTCTGAAGAGTAAGAAAAAAAAACGAAGAAGAAAAGTGATTCAATTTGACAGAAGAGAAAGAACAACTGTTCAAAATAACAGATCATTTTTATACAATTTGTTTTTTGAAAAGAACACAAATATGAAAAGACTTCTGTTACGAAATGTTCATCATTGTGGATGAAATCATCGGATCCTTAAGAAATATTTCTTCAATTGTAATCAATTCAACATATTTCCAAACTTACAGGAATAAACGGTGGTTGCATTGCTGTTTGAGGATAAAAAGTATTCCACATTAATGGCGACAGCGGTAACACAGCTAAAAAAAAAAGAAATCAAATATAAACGTTTGATTACTGATGAAGTTGTTGATCATACCATATGGTTGATGAGGATTGAACATTGGATGAAACATTTGTGGCATTGTTGGATTAACAATCCAACCACCGAGTGTATTGACAAATGTTGGTGATGATTGTCCGTAGGATAATGGAATTGATG